TGGAATGAGGCTGCAATTTATGCGGAGCAGTAGGCACTGTAGTCCTCAGTGTTCTCCCCATTAGCAACTCTGCCGGTGAGCATAAACCCTCAATGGGTCTTGCACGATAGTTTAATAGATCTAAATGCACATCCTGCCCTGACGATTATGCTTTCTGTATAATGGATTTGGCTATGCCAACATACTTCTGCTAGGCCATTGGCCTGTGGGTGATAAGGGCTTGTGGATTTGTGCTTGATTCCCCATTCACGCAGAAAGCACTGGAATTCAGCACAGGAAATGTGGCCCATTGTCAGACACAAGTTCTTCACACACTCCATGTCTTGAAAGTATTGTCTTGAAAGCCCATATGACTGTTGACACTTTTAGACTTCCAAGCTGCACTAGTTCAAAGTATTTGCTGTAGTAGTCTACTATCGTCAGGTAGTGGATGTCTCCAAAGTAAAAATGTCTGTAGCCAATCTCTGCCGGATGTCCTTGTTGAGTCAGTACAGCACCTAGCCCAAACTGGGATGTATCCACTTGAAGCACGGTGTCAGCATTTGCGTCAAAGTATTTCAGTATTGACCCTGGATGTTTAATGATCAGTTTCTTCACTTTGTCAAAAGTCCTTTCCATGTTTGCATCCCAACACCAAATGGCATCCTTCTGCAGCAGTACACGTAACGGTGCTGTCTGTTGAGCGAGGCCCTTAGAGAATTTAGATAGATAGTTGATAGTTGCCCAATGATGTCTCCAGTTCCTTTCTGGAGGCTGGGGCCATGTTAAGAACTGCTGTGATCTTCTTTGGATCAGGCTTCAAGCTCTCTTTGGTTAGTAGGTGTCCAAAATATGTCACTTCTCCTACCCCAATTTGCATTTTATTTGGATTGAGTTTAAGATTTCTCTCACAACATCAATTGAGCAAAGCAGTAAGGTTTCTGTCATGCGCAACTTGATCCTTTCCATAGACCAGTGGTTCTCAATCTGTGGGTCAGGACCCCTTTGGGGGTCGAACAACCCTTTGACAGGGGTCACCTAAGGCCATCGGAAAACGTATTTTTGAAAAAATCCGAAAAACATAAAATAATCTTATGGTTGGGGGTCACCACAACATGAGGAACTGCATTAAAGGGTCACAGCATTAGGAACGTTGAGACCTACTGCCATAGACCAACAAATCATCAACTATTACTTCAACATCCTATAGACCAGCAATCAGTTCATGTGATTTTTTTAAAAATATCTCCTGTGCCGATGCTATACCGAAAGGCACCCTTGTGAAGCGCCATCGACCCACAGGGGAGTTGAAAGTAGTGAGGTAACTGTTGGCTTCATCAAGACACAATTGCCAGTAACCAGACTGGGCATCTAATACACTGAACACTGTTGCTCCTACTAGCTTATGTGCTATGTTCTCCATGGTGGGGAGTTTGTAGTGTTCTCTCATTATTACTTTGTTCAAATCGTGTGAGTCAATGCATATGCGAATTGCACCTGTGTTCTTCTTCTCCACCACAACCATAGAACTGACCTATTCCAATGGTTCAGTGACCTTCTTTACTACTCCCAATTTCTCCATCCAAGTGAGTTCCTGTCTAACTTTATCCACAAGAGTTAGAGGTATTTTCCTTGGGGCATGGATGACAGGCTGTGCACCCTCTTTTATATGTATGTGGTTTATGCCTGGGAAACACCCCAGGCCCTAGAATAGATTACAGTACTCATGCTTAATGTCAGCTTACGTCAGACCTCTATGCCCTCCATCCACAGTCATGATCTTCACAAGTCCAATCTCTACTTGTTTTGAGACCTAGCACGGCTGGGGCTTGCATTTCTATCACAAACAATTGTAAAACCCTTTCCGATCCCTTGTAGGCACATTTTACATGACAGCGATCCATTACTTCCAGCTTTTCACCACCATATCCCATTAATTTCGGTAGGTCCAGAGTCTCTAAGGGTGATTCATTCCTGAGGTGTTCCAGATATATGTGGCT